GAAGTGAAAAGTGCTCAAAATTGAGCGTGAAGGGGCAGACTCAGTTTACAAGGCAGAATTAAGTTGGTTTTCGGCCAACTTTGAAAATTCGGCACGATTTACACGTTGCAAACCGGCCTCTGAAATTCGTAGCTCAATTAGAGTTGCAAGTGAGGTGTACAGAAAAACAAGCGGATCAAGAATCGGAGTTTCGAATACCGAGATACGGTAGCCCAAAGTTGGGGAAATTCAAGACTGGAGAAGAATTTCCAGATTTGAACCTCCGACACTAGAAATTTAATTGGGTATCGAAACGGACTTGGATTGGTACCAAAATTGGCAGTATTTTACTTCTATATGAAAGGTATCTCTCTATCAAATTTCAGGGAAAAATACCTTCGGAAAGATAGTTAATTAGTCAACCAAAGTTCAGGAAAATTTCTAAGGCAATCTGCCTTTTGACTTTCATTTCCCAATTTCAAATCGTTTAACCAAGAAAGCTATCCAACCAAGGTTCATTGGTGAAATAAAGGTCTAAGATACATCCATGATACCTTTGGTAATGGTTTAGCACCAAAATTTCAATTGATAGGATCACTCCCAAGTTTTTGTCCAAAATCAGTCCAAAATTTACGTTTTTCCAAAACAGGGCAGTCCACTTGTTTCAGTCACAACTCAGTCAATTTAACTCGGAATGAGGCATGGTTTATGGCGTTAGAAAATAAATTCATAGGAATAAAAGTTCACAGAAGAAAACGTTCTGAAATTCGGCAAGCAACCAGCTCGAAATTGAGCCTCAAGTTGCTGCCTCTACAAATCATTCCAGCAAATCCGAGAGACAGGACAGCTATCTTAAAACATTTGGTTCGGCTCACTCACAAAGAATCAGAACGTGAATTTTATCTCAAATTAAAGCCAGGAATGTCTAGTTTCAAACGCCACTGACGGCACTTGATTTCGACACCCGAGGACAGAGTTATGGTCAAAATGCTACCGCTGGACAGGGTTACCCGAAAATAATTTTCCAGCTTGCCTAGTTCACGAATAAATTCATTTGCCCATCCAAACGTTAATGTTTCCCAACGAAAATTTTTACACATATAATATAACATATAAACATCAGGTTCATGCCAATAAATCACCAAAAATTGGCCTTATAGTGGCCGAACAAAACAGGGGCAGTTTCGGAAATTTCTTGTCATGACCTCTACTTTGAGTTTCCAACAATAATACTCCATGAATCCATCATTATAACCATTAAACTACCATTAAATCCAACATTAATCCTCTAATTAGCAACAACAACCCAAGTGTGGGAATACAAAGAGTCCACTTTCACATTTTACAACCATATCAAGCCATCCATACACATGCAATAGCTTAAAGATGCATTTCTACCATCATAATCCAAGTTTAAGGTGTAGGATGAAGTTATACCTCCTTAGTGCCTTAACCCAGAAATTTTCGGCCCTCAAGAGCTCCAAGAAACCGTGAAAATGCAGCCCTTTAGTTAGCTAAATCCGACCTCCAAGTAGTTTGCTAGATGATCTTCAAGTTTGGTGAAGATTGGTTGAGGTTTTGGGTTGATTTGATGAACGAATTTGTGAAGCAAGAGAGTGAGAGAGAGAGGAGGTTGTGGCCGGCTGCTTGGTGGGAGAAGATGGAGTGATGTTGATCAAAGTTAGCTTCCAAGAGAAGATTAAATGAGTGGTGCACATTCACTCCAAAGTCAACTCTTATTAGGGCTCGTTTGGCACGTTTTAGGCTCGATTTTCTCGCGCGTTTGGTTCACTAGTGCATTAAACCTCCAATGCATTTATATTCATGTAAATATTATTCACTCTTAATTGTCCCGAAATAAGGGTCTAAAGTCCCTCAAATAAAGTCGCACGTATGAAAACGCGTACCGTCAATTTTAACGCTATAACGCGAAACTTCCGATAAATTCTTATAACGATAATACTAATAACTATCACTTGAGTATTTAAACATTAAATTACCTAATTTAGGTCCATTGTATAAATCTTTAATATTCCAAGCCTATTGTACTCTCAATCGGGTAAAATTTCCAAGCACTATTCACCGTTCTCACTAAACGCGCTCCCGGAAATTAATTCTTGAAACAAGTCACTTTAAAAATATAACGAAGCTATATTTCCATGTAATTAGGTTCAATAGGTCTAGAAAATAATACTCGGAATAAATGAACAAGTAAATAATTAAATAAGCTCAAAATAGGGTTTTAATAGGAGTTTTACGAGTCCTCACATGAGTCGAGTATTAACTCCTCAAATCTCCAATAAATTTGTATCCATGCGTCTTTTGGAAAACTATCCACGCGTGAGTAGTATATGCTCACTTAGAACTTATTCACCTTTAATTCTCGATTAACTTTTCTTAATCTGCTATTGTCCGTTCTTAATTTCCCGGATAATCATACTCTCGAATACAATATCACCTTGAAACACTCGTGTTCATTATTTCTCACTTAAACAATCCTCCGAAAATTGAAGTTGTTAACGGGACGTTTTAAAAGCATAATGAAGACATTATTCCATACGAATGGATTTAAAATGGTCGTAATAAATTATTTGGGAAAAACAGGTGGATAAATACTTAATTAAACCATTAATATTCGATAAAAATAAGAAATTTTTCGGGTCCTCACAAACTTACTATTATCACTTCTAATCACACTCTTAATATCATCTAAACCTCACTCTTAATCATCCAATTTGACCCACCCTCCGTACCGGATAGTCGCACTACGGCTAGGCGTAAAATCCTAATTCGCACTAACTTGATAACGGAAAGGGAAAACCCCTAATTCTACATTCATTTGCACTTATTGTGGGGTGATTGGGTAGAAGGGCCATTATAAAGTAATAATTTCTAAATAAAAGGAAATTTTTAAGAAAAATATAAGGAAATTTTATGGTCGTCAGAGCACTCCCTTTGTTTTTCTTTACTTTTCCAACCTAACATTAACACCCAATCTCATCTCATTTCAGCCACAACTTCACATACAAATCATAAACCATTAAATACCCTTCATATCTCACCAAGTGAGAGCTCCAAAACCAACCACAAACAAGGCAAAATTAGAAACCCTAAATCTGAAATTTCAAACACAAGCTGGAAATTCCTTTAGGCAACTAGAACTAGCATATAAAAGCTCAATAATACACATCACAAAGCTATCGATCCATGGTCAAACATTAGGTTTCATAATAGGGCAGAAAATCCTCTAATAAAACTGAAATTTTCCATAAAACCACCTCAAGCCATCTTGTTTCCCATAAAACTACATATTTAATAACCTTAAACCACTATGATGCAATTATTAGAAGTAAGGAGAGGTTTTCTTGGAAAGTTACCTTATACCCACAAGAAATATGGTAGCGTAGGTTTCCTCCTCCCAAATTGACTCCACAAACATCTTGGAGACTACCTTAATTAGCACTTTTATGAAGTGATTTGCAAAACTAATGGTTGAATCTCAAAATTCAAGCAAGCAATTGAAGGGAAAGTTGAAGAGTTTCTCTCTCTTTTGCTCTCCATGGAGCTCGACCAAGACACAAGAAAATGGTGTGATCTTTGGTCAAAATTGAGGGTTTAGGAAAGTTAAATAAACTTGGTCAAAGTCCAACTTCCAATGGGGTAGTGACACTTGGCCTTTCTAGTGCTTTCTCTTATCCTTTGTCTTCTAATGGTTACACCAAATAACTAACTTCTAATAATCTCATAACACCTGGTGAAATAATCTCTTTATGCAAAAATTAACCTATTTGTCAAAAATTTAGCGCGCTTAACACACAAGCGGGTCCCACGTACAATATACACTACTACTGTCATATAAACTAACTTATATTTGCAAAAATGATTTCAAAACTATTCTTTTTTATAAAATCTCTGGTAAATTAATATAATAAGGTAAAGTAAAGAAATATTGCATACGAAGAAATAAAATAAAATAAAATAAAAAATATATATATAGAAAATAAGGGAATTTTGCGGGTCCTCACACTCTCTCCCCCTTAAAGAAATTTCGTCCTCGAAATTTTCTTACTATTAGGATCTATCAAAATCTAAGGTAATCAGTAGATTGTACCTTGTACGTCCTCAGAAGGATCGGGGATCTTCATTCCAGTCTTTTCTTCATTTGACGGTTCAGGGTTGGTCTTGGTTGGTTGCTGGGTTCCTTTCCTTTCACGCAATTTAACAGGGCAATTAGTAATCCGATGCTTAGCACTACCACAGCGCAGGCATCTTCCCCCCTTTTTCCAACAACCCACCTCAATATAGTTGGTTTTTCTACAATAGCCACAAAATGGGAAAAGGATTGAGGTTTGATCTCCTTGTGATATACCTCTCAGTTGTCCTCCTCCACTTGGGACTTCTCCCGGAGTATTTTCTCTAAGTATCCCCAAAAATTTCACACCCCCAGCTCCTCGACCCATCTTAGCAAATGGCCTACCTCGATCACCTTGTTCTGGCATTTGACTTTCACAAGATACACTCTTTTTCTTTACAAGGAAAGTCTTCACCTGAGCCCTTGCAATTTCTATCCCTTGAGCTTTCTCCGGAACCTCCGTAGAAGTAGTACTTTGTACCATTGCTAAGGCCTCTTTGAAAATCCCTTCGTATTTCCTTTTCAACTCCATGTTCTTATGCAAAAGCTCAATTTTCTCCGAATACTCATGTTTCCATCGCTCATTTCCTAGATCCAATCTCCTCTATTAGTCCATTTACTAGGTCAAATGTTAAAATCTTCCACGCCTTACCCTTAGCCATCAAAACTCACCTCAAGTGCAATCAAGATACATGCCTCTATTCTAGCGTTCTCTGTGACGCCCCCACTTCTCCCTAAGGCGAACCAAAGGGTATCCGCGGGACGCCTGCCTAGCTCTCGCCAGGACTCAAGCAATTCCATTTAAACTTATTACCGGACCACACCAAACGAGTCAATAACTTAGATACAATAAATGCGGAAGCGTTCAAGTTTAATAAAAGTCATCCGATATCCAACCCGCACATCGGGTGTTCAACAACCATCATATATCCCAAATATACATCATGCTCCAAAAGTTACATTCGGATTCCAAAATACAACCCAAAAGCCAAGACAAAGTCAAAAGTAATAGAAACCCTAAACAAAAGCGTAGCAGGAAGGTTTCTTCGATACCTCGCCAAGTTCAATCCTGTTAAGGAAAACAAATCTACATGGTGAGCAAAACGCTCGTGAGGCCAAGAACACACATGCAGGCACATAGTTCAGGTAACAAGCCCAAGTAATAGTTCAAGTGATAACTTGCAAGTAATTAACAATGCCAACAAAATGTAAACAGAAACGATTCAAGGATATGGTAGCTCTCAAGAGCTAAGTTCCACTTGCTTTGCCAGTTCATTCGTATATCTTCCCGTGATGACTCTCCGTCAACCGGGTTGATATTTCCAAACCGTAGATCACCACTTACTTCTCATCCGTCCACCATACACCGCTTCGGGCCCGCACGACATTTATGAGGCGATACTCCACGAGTATGCCAAGCAAGATCTCTCCAATAGATCAAGCTTATCATGTGAATCTCATGGCTCACCGAGGTTCCCGATCAAGCCCATGCCGGCTCGAGTTCCAAGGTCGGCCTATGAGTTTGGGCGTCCCCCATGTATCATGTAAGTGTCGAGGAGATTCACTCCAACGACGTATGCAATCATAGCATACCATGTCATGTATTCAAGCATTTGACAGGTTTAAGCAGGCATTTCAAGTCATGTAACCAGGCAAATCATGTTAAGCATGAGTCATTCGTTTCAAATGAGAACGAGTGCGATCAAGTACACACTCGACTCCATTTTTGTCAAAATCGAATAGGCTACGCATGTAATCAGGTAAGTCAAGCATGAATCAAGTCCCTAGAGTTCAAGTAATCATACACTTGACACTCACCAAGTTCTGCAAGCAAGTAGGTTGGATTGAGAGTTCAAACTTCCACGGTAGGGTCCTCTTGGAGGTCCTCGTGCGTGCCTGAACATCGAATAGTAGATAATTACTATAGGTCCCCAGGTGGTGAGAAAGTTTGAACACGAGTAAGGTTCGGAAATATTTTGAAAACTTCGTTTGGCTTGTCTTTGAAATTGGATTTCCAAAAGGGTGCAGGACTCGAGTAAAATCGGATTATTATCCTTAAAATCATTGGTTGGAAACGAGTACGAGCGAAACAATTGCTAAACGAACGATCGAAATCGGAAGTGGGCTGGCCACGTCACAATCCGGCCGTATTCTTGGCCGGATTGGAGGCAGTAGCCATCCTCATTTTTTTTCAAATTCCAACTACAATCCGGCCGCCTATCCGGCCAGAAACTGGCCGGATTCAAGGCTGGATTCTAGAAAAATGCTTCCCGCGCGGATTTCTTTTGAAACTCCAGAATTTTCGATTTTTGGTAAAATTTTTGAAAAATCATAACTTCTTTTCTACTAGTCAAAAATTGATAAACTTAGTACCGTTGGAATCACCTTTGAAAGTACTAAAAGTTCCTAGAAGACACTGTTCCACGAATCTAAATGGAAGGTGTTCAAAAATGAGTTTAAAGTTGCTGTCCCAGATCACCCAGGATTGAGCCGGGGTTGGTTTTTCGCTAACTTTGGAAATTCGATAGAATTCACTCGTTGCAAACCAGCCCTTGAAATTTATAGCTCAATTAGAGGTGCAAGTAAGATTTAGGGCAAAACAAACGGATCGAGAATCGGAGTTTCGAGCACCAAGATATGGTAGCTCAAAGTTGGAAAAAATTCAAGACTGTTACAAATTTTCCAGATTTGGTTCCGACTTTGGACCTTTTGTTAAGTGTCGAAACGGACTTGAATTGACACCAAATTTTGTAGTATAGTACTCCTATATGAAGGGTATTTCTCTATCAAATTTCGTGGAAAAATACCTTCGGGAAGGTGGTTAACCAACCAACCAAAGTTTGGAAAAATTCTTAAGGCAATCTGCCTTTAATCCTTTTCTTCCCAAATCCAATCGTTTGGCTATGAAAATCCTCCAATCATGGTTCATATGTAAAAGAAAAGTCTAAGGATCATTCATGGTATATTTGGTAGGTGTTTAACACCAAAAATTTCGTTTAGTAAGACCACAACAGTCTCATCTCAAATCTGTCCAAAACTAGGCTTTTTCCAAAACAAAGCAGCGTTCTTGTTTTGATCACAATTCAGTCGACCTAAGTCGGAATCGAGCATGGTTTACGGTGTTGGAAAATACATTCATAGGACTATAATTTCACAGAAGAAATCTTTTTAAGTTTCAGCATGCAACTAGCTTGAAATTAAGCCTAAAGTTGCAGCATCATCAAATCATTTCGGCAGAACGGTGAAACAGGGCAGCTGAATTCAGATGAGTGGTGCGGTTCACACACATGGAACCAGAACATGCATTATATACCGTTGGAAATATGGAAACGTCTAGTTTCAAATTCCGCTAACGGCACTTGATTTCGACGTCGGAGTACGGAGTTATGGACGAAACACGAACACTGGTCTGGTTACGACGGCAACCGTTTCCAGATTTCTAGCTTTGGAAAATAAATTCTTTTGATCAACCAAAACTCAATATTTTTCAACGAAATTTTGTACACAACTTCTACAACATGTAAACAACACAATCAAGCCATTAAATCCTCAATTTCTGCATTACAATGGCCGAACAAAGCAGGGACAAAATAGTCAAACTTGGCCTTTGCTACTCAACGTGAGTTTCCAGCAATTTTCCTTCAACAAATCACTAACTTAAACACTGATCCGACATAATAAACTTCATCAAGCACAAAATCAGCAACAACCCAAGAGTGGGAATTCATAGAGCCCACTTTTCCAATTTTTTTCCAACAATACAAGCTACCAAAGTGAAGATTCCAGCTCATATGCATGATTTAACCTCCATAAGACAAGTTTAAGGTATTGGATCATTACCTACTTTGATGGTTGTTTAGATCAGAATTTTCGGTCCCTTTGAAGCCTGAAGACAGCCGTGAAACTCCTCCCTTTTTCAGCTTAAAGTGTTGTCCAAGTGTAGAGCTAAGTGTATGTGAAGTTTTGGTTGAATCTATGGAAGTTTGGTAGTGATTTGCATGAGCTTTGGAAGAGGAAATGTTGAAGGTTTCGGTTGTTCCTTGCAGCTGCTAGCCGTCCATTGCAGCTAGAAGGAAAGGAAATGTGGTTCTGCTTCCTTTGGGTACGAAAGACGCTTGACGTCTAATATTTTAAATACGTAAATTCAATTGCAACTAGTGCCCTACGCGCGCGTTTGGTGTTCGATTTCTCTTACGTTTGTTGCACTAGTGCACTAAACCTCTAGGGCACTTACACTCATATAAATATTATTCATTCTTAATTGTCCCAAAATAATGGTCCAAAGTTCCTCAATTAAGCGCGCACGTGCAAACACGTATTTCTAATTTAGGCGCAATAAAAATTGAAACCTTTGAGAAATTCTTATAACGATTGTACCACTAGCTATCACTTGTGTGATTAAACCTAAAATTGTCTATTTTAGGACCATTGTATAGGTCTCAAATTTTTGAGCTTATTGTACTCCCAATTGGCTAAAGTGTTTAGACACGTTTTCACTTTTTCGCTAAATAAGCTTATAAGAAAATAATTCTTGAAATGAGACGTTTTAAAAATATAACGAAACTATAAAACCATGTACTTAGGTCTAATAAGGCTAGAAAATATTATTCGGAATAAACGGCAATTAAATATACAAATGAGCTAAATAGGAATTTAAAATAATAAATTTTGCGAGTCCTCACAGGAGTCTAATATTAATTCCTCAATTAACCTTTCTTAATCTACTATTGATCATTTTTAATTCTCCAATATTAATACACTCCTGATTCAAGTATAGCCTCGAAAACGTGTACTTGTTATTTCGAACTAAACGAATTTTTGAAAAGTGAATTTTCCAACAAAATGTTTTTAAATATAAAAGAGGCGTTGTTCCATATAAATGGATTTTTAAATGGTCGAAATGAATAATTCGGAGAAAATGAGTAAATAAATGTTTAAGTAAACTGGTAATATCCGATAAATAAGAAAATTTTTGGGTCCTCACATTCTCACTATTTTGTAGACAAGTACAAGAATCCACAACAAGACAATTCACATCTCGAGCCGGCCAGTCCCAAGAGTAAATCTCTCATATTAAGGATTCCTACCTGACATACATATCTATTGTCCACATGTGTCATTGTGATGCCCCCACTTCTCCCAAGGGCGAACCCAAAGGTATCAGCGGAACGCCTGCCCAGTTCTCGCCAGGGCTTGAGACAATTCCAATTCAAACTTAAAGTCTAATATTAACAATGAAAATCAGAATAGAGGTACGAAGCCATATCCATACATAAATATTCAATCTCACGTCACAACTTCAAATTTACAATTCACTTTTCCCCAAAATATACAACATCCAAAAGGGTCTAGTCGATTACAATCAAAACACTAATACAAATGTAACTCAAGTCAGCATTTCCTTAACTTCTTCCATTCCAATTCCTGCTTTACCTTTCCACCACGAGTTCCAGTTCTCTTTTTGGATGCTCTGGTGGAGGATTCTACACTTTCAACCTCCTCATCTCTAAGTCTAAAGGTGCATCCGGCACCCGTAGAACCACCTCTAAATTTCACCCTAATGTAATGCAATTGGTTTTTGTGATAGAGTATAGTGTAGATGTATATCAGATTGACTAAGAATGCAATTTGAACTACAATGGATGTTTTAATCGACCACAATGAGTAGATTTTGAGAAGTTAGGGTTTCGGGTGTGAATTGGGATTTATGTGGCAGTTAGGAGTTAGGAGACGTTATGAGGGATAGTGAACGGGAAATAGGAATGTAATGATGTCGATTGGATCAATTATTTGGAACTTGATTGGAAGAGAGAGTAATTTGAATTTTGAATTTGAGAGAGAAATGATGGGTTGCGTCCGAGACTAAGGATATAAATGAACTGAATGAAATAGATGACTTCTTTATAAGACGCAACATTTGAGTGTCGGACGGCCGAATGAAGTGAAGTGTGTGACGTCCCCACTTCTCCTAAAGGCGAACCCAAGGGTATCGGTGGAACGCCTGCCCAACTCTCGCCAGGACTCGGTACTAATTCAATTTACACTCAATACTAACCAATCGATACTAAAAATCGAAGAGATAAACGATGGTCAATTCCTCAAATAAACGTTCAAGTCTTACATTATAATCTACCCAATTACTTTACATTCCCAAAATATACAGCTTCCAAAATCAAATTCTAAACAAATATATTCACAATTCTAATCAAGTGAAGCATCAAGTAAGCTTCTCCAGAATTCCTCCCATTTCAGCTCCTGTTAAGGAAAAACAAATCTAACGGGGTGAACGGATGCTCGTGAGGCCAAGAAAACATGCAAGTCAAGTAATTCGATAGCAATAGCACTTACACAATAATGACAACTATAACATTCAAGAAATTTGCAATTTATAATAAACCCCCTTGAGTAGGATGTAGGAGCTCTCAGGAGCTAAATCTTTGTTTACTTTGCCCTAAGTCCAATTCAATACCTTCTCGTGACGACACCCCATCACCCAGGTAGATAATTAAATCCATAGCACTTTACGTATTCCATTTATGTTTCTGAGACGTCTTGAGAGGCACCTCCCACCCAAATCGGTGTGGTATTTACTATCGTTCAGCTTATAGGTCTGAGGCGATTCGAGAGGTACCTCCTACCAAATCAGTGTGGTACTTGCTATCGTTCAGAGGTCGATGAGACACCGCTCCAATCAACTTAGAATGCTTAATGGTTCTGAGACGATTCGAGAGATATCCCTACCCAAATCGGTGTGGTACTTGTTATTGTTCAGAGGTCGATGAGACACCGCTCTAATCGACTTAGAATGCTTAATGGTTCTGAGACGATTCGAGAGGTACCTTCCACCCGAATCGGTGTGGTACTTGCTATCGTTCGGAGGTTTAGGTACTGAG